GTAGACCGCCGACTGATATACCGGCCGGTATCGATGTCGGTCCGGTACCGGTACAAGGTTTGTATACCGGAGATCGGTATTGATATCGGATTTTTCCTACCGCATCCACGACTGGTATGCATCGGTACCGGTATCTCTACCAAAAATGCCGCACTTCGGCATATACCGATACCAAAAATAGCGAGGTTCTTCGATTTGCAATTTTCTGGATTTTTCTATCTGAAACGAGGTAGTTTAGCGTCATGGACAGTGATAACACAAAACATCACTCAGCTGTATATTCGCAGCCTGTGAAGATGCACAGTAAAGGAAAACTTTGGCTTTTGCATCCGTGATTCTTGCCAGGTGTCCAGGATACAAGACTATGTCATTTCACATGAAAACATCCGTAAAAGTCCAACGCGAAAAGAGTCGGTATTTTAGGTACTCGGTATGCCGATACCGGTGCACATCTGCACAAAATTCAGGGCTCTAGAAGATTGAGATGTTTACACAAAAAGAATAATCCGAGCTAAAAGAGAGAGAGGGAGAGGATGTCTCAAATAGAATATCCATCAGCCCCATGCGCATAGTTTAGCATAATAGAACAGCCGTTACGGTTTAGTGTGCGGAGCGTGGAATTTTGACGGCGGATAGTCATAGGATATGCATAGGATGGTTTCTTTATGGACAGCAAAGCTTTTTGCATGCTTTACGCGCGTGAACTATGCATAATGTTTAACTATCGATGCTTATTTCCCAAAATTTGTGCAAAACAATGCCCGCAGTGCCTATCGCTTTTTTCATGTATCGAAGAACGAGTTATATTTTAACCAAGACAAGTTTTCCAGCTTCCTTCCTGACATGACTATTCCGAAACCGACTCTTCCGAAAATCCTCCTCGACTGCTCCGCGAAAGGTAACCCGAATCCCATGCGAATCGGATCCCGAAAGTTGCGCCAACCGATCTTTCGCGAACAGGAGCCCGACCCTGCTCGGACAGGACCTCGACCCATTAATAGAATTCAGTCGCGAAACTTTTATTAAATTCGCCTATGTCTTAGAGACATAGGCGAATAAAAGCCAGTAGAACTGGGCGACTTCATAAACGTAGCTACTAGTGAACAGATGTCTTCGTCTTACTAGTTGAAAAAACGGTTCTAGAAGTGCGTTGACTTGCTTGTAGACTATCATCAGAATGCATACCTGTCCAAATACATAATTTTCGCATGACAGGTTTCGACAAATACACATTTCGTGTAGAAACATGTATTTTGTGGTACATAAATACCTGGCACTGTAGATGCTGAAGTCGCCCCGCTTAATCCATTGGAATTGGTGGTTAGTTCGAGAGCTTTAACAAAACAAAAAGACATTAAGGTCTTACCACTAGCAAAACAGTTTTAGAAGCTCTTCGATCAAGAGACAGTCTACATTATTCTCAAAATACGAGATTGATTTTAGATTATAAAATACTTATTCCAATAGTATATGAGTATTCAACTGATAAGTTTGAGCGGTCTTTCGCTCATCAGATCTGATTCGATCTCACTATGTCAAAACTCAAGTGTCACGTGCCAGCATAACAATTCATTTCTATGTGGTGTATACAATGGGTTCGGACGTTATGATCGGGCATCAACCAAATGCTTAAGCAAAGCATAGACCACTCGTATCGCAAAAGCAATAGTTGTCGTATGTATTGGGTGCGTTGGAAATATGACACGACTTTTAACCAATGGCGTTTTTCACAACTTTAAATAACGACGTTTTCACGAAAAATCTGACGTACACATACATACTGAGAATATGGAAGAACCCTTAAACACTTTGTATTGCAATGCTCTTCAAATGGTTCGCCTCTTACTGTGAATATGGAAGAACCCTTAAACACTTTGTATTGCAATGCTCTTCAAATGGTTCACCTCTTACTGCTATACCGAGCAGAACAACTGATTTGGTGCCTTCCGGACAGCTTTCGTTCAAAGCAAGGTCGCTGCTCTTGAGAAAGATCATCGTTGAACTATATGTATATATAGACAAAGCCATTAATGCATGATAAAGTTAGTCGTACTTTTCCCTGTGTCCTACCGAACACTAGTTTTAATTTTGTCCACTCAGTTGGCAACGGTACAATGTTTTCTCTAACTCATGCGCAATGCTAGCCGTCACTCATTTTGCTCTACATTCAGTACATACAGATTCAACGAGTCAGAATAAAATCAAGTTTCTCATTTTCCGTGTTTAAACTAAGCTCGTATATCTTTGTGTACTCGATGCTGCAGAATCGAATCCAGCATGGTGAACAATCCGTCGAAATATATAATTTTCGGATGACAGGTTTCGACAAACACACATTTCGCATAGAAACATGTATTTTTTGGCACATACATACCTGGTACTGTAGATGCTGAAACCGTTGCACTTAATCCATTGGAATGGCTGGTTGGTTGAAGCGCTTTAACAAAACAAAAAGACATTAAGCTTTGGATCTTCACCACTTTCATTCGACTTACACGACACTTCTGTCGCCCTTCCAGCTGCAGAATTCGATAATCCTAGAAAGAATTGGACGATTGACTCGACATGGACGCGTTAGCCGGTAAAAGAATGTTTATCATAATCCTGTTTTATAGCAGATCAAGCCATGTTCTTCATTTGTAACACTAATATAAGAATACTCTAGCAGATACTAGCACTACTTCAAATAAATCAACCTCGGTCTATTCTGCCTTATCTCTTCGAAAACAAACAAAGCTCTTGTTTTGCATACGTGATTCTTGCTGAGTGCCCAGGATGCTGAACTATGTCATTTCAGTTGAAAAAATCTCTAAAAGTCCAGTTGGAAAGTAGTCGGTATTTTGGGTATCCGTCTTTAGGGTATTCGGTATGCCGTTACCGGTGCATACCTACAAAGACGAGGCGCAATAAAAGTTGTAATGTCACAATATAATTTGCCGTATCCCCGGTCTGGGATTGTCTGCCAGTTTGTAAATAAAAACACTGAGAAGATTTATATGCGACCCCAAGCATGTCGAAGACCGCCTCGATAGCCTAATGGTAGAGCATCGGGCCTGTTAGGCGATTTCGTGCATTTGTGTCTCAACACAAAACTCAACTTAGAGAGAGTTTGAATTAGCGCCACCTTACGTTCAATTATAGTATGATCTGTACCAACAACACTAAATGAACAGCAGGTGATTAACAAAATAAAAGATAGTAATTCAGAAAGTGCTTTTTCAATCAATACCGTCAAATCTACTTGATTGATTGAAGAGTATCTTCCGAAACCCTCTACTGCTATGATTCGACTAGATTTATCAAGTAAAAATAGTAAAATACGGAAAATGTTTGTTGCCAGCTACGCGGGCACTATTCAACAATGTACACGAGTAATAAAATCTACTTTATCAAAACTGTTGGCGGTTTGATCACACTGGTGTTGCGTTTAAAACTCTAACTGCCTGTAGGAAATGCGCCGCACCACATGTAATTGATTTCTGTTTGTCGAACTCCACTAGATACATCAATTATAGTTTGTGCGTATGAAGCCAGTAATGAGGAACTGGCAGAAAGCAATAGAAAACAGTATAGTAATGAATAGTAATCTTCATCAAAATAATACTTTATCCTCATTGAAACTGTTGGTCAATAGCAGAGAGAGAAAAGGTCAAACTTCAACACTGTCAGTCGTCTTACCACTAGCAAAACAGTTTTAGAAGCTCTTCGATCAAGAGACAGTCTACATGATTCTCAAAATGCAAGATTGATTTTAGATTATAAAATAGTTATTCCAATAGTATATGAGTATTCAACGGATAAGTTTGAGCGATCTTTCGCTCATCAGATCTGATTCGATCTCAATATGTCAAAACTCAAGTGTCACGTGAGAGCATAACTAGCGGGAGCGAAAATATGTGCAACACATAAGTCTGAGGTCGGGTTTTTTCTCAATTCATTTCTATGTGGTGTTTACAATGGGTTCTAACGCTATGATCGGGCATCAACCAAATGCTTAAGCAAAACTTTCTTTCCGCTACTCATACATACCTGGTACTGTAGATGCTGAAATCGTCGCACTTAATCCATTAGAATTGCTAGTTTGTTGGAGCGCTTTAACAAAACAAAAAGACATTAACCTTGGATCTTCACCACTTCCATTCGACTTACACGACACTTCTGTCGCCCTTCCAGCTGCAGAATTCGATGGTCCTAGAAACAATTGGACAGTTGAATCGGGGGCTCTACTGGACGCGTTAGCCGGTAATTTCGCAACCGGATTCAGCGAGATTCGCCTATAGCTTAGAGCCATCAAAGCCAGTAGAACTGAACGACTTCATAAACGTAGCTCTACTAGTGAACAGATGTCTTCGTCTTACTAGTTTAAAATCGCTTCTAGACTTGGTGATAGACTATCATCGGAATGCGAAGAAACCTGTCCAAATACATAATTTTCGGATGACACGTTTCAAAAACTACACATTTCGCGTAGAAACATGTATTTTGTGGCACATACATACCTGGTACTGTAGATGCCGAAAGGGTTGCATTTAATCCATTGGAATGGCTGGTTAGCTGGAGCGCTTTAACAAAGGAAAAAGACATTAAGGTTGGATCTTCAACACCTCCATTCGTTTTACCACTAGCAAAACAGTTTCAGAAGCTCTTGGATGTAGAGGCAGCCGACATTATTCTCAAAATGCAAGGTTGATTTTAAATTATAAAATAGTTATTCCAATAGTATATGAGTATTCAACTGATAAGTTTGAGCGATCTTTCGCTCATCAGATCTAATTCGATCTCACTATGTCAAAACTCAAGTGTCACGTGGGAGCGTAGCTAACGGGAGCGAAAATATGTGCAACACACAAGTTTGACGCGCTCTTTCTCAATTCATTACTATCTGGTGTTTACAATGGGTTCGGACGCTACGTCGTTATTTCACAGCTGTAAATAACGACGTTTTCAGGAAAAATCTGATGTGCTCATACATACTGAGAATGTGGAAGAAAGAAGCCCTGCCCGGTTTCCTGCCGAACACTAATTTCGATTTTGTCGACTCAGATGGCATCCGTACAATGTTTTCTCTAACTCAGCGGTCTTTCGCTCATCAGATCTGATTTGATCTCACTATGTCAAAACTTAAGTGTCACGTGAGAGCAGAGCTAACGAGAGCGAAAATATGTGCAACACATAAGTCTGAGGTCGGGTTTTTTCTCAATTCATTTCTATGTGGTGTGTACAGTGGATTCGGACGCTATGATCGGGCATCAACCAAATGCTTAAGCAGAGCATAGACCACTCGTATAGCAAAAGCAGTAGTTGTCGTATGTGTTGAGTGCTTTGGAAGTTTGAGGCATGAAGAAATATTTACCTTCATAAAGACTACTACAAGTTATAGGGCATGAAAATAAAGCACCCGAACAAATCACTACTGACACGTTTCAACAAATACACATTTGGGGTAGAAACATGTAACGGGTGATCCAAGATAAATTGCACTAAATTCTGATGCATTTTTCTCTCATTTTTCATCTATGAAAAATATGCCCTAATATACCAAAAGATAGAGAATTTCAAGCTCTGCAAAACTGATGACTTCGTTTTTGAAGCAAATTTTTCTTATCGCCACGAAATTAAAATGATTCACGTCTAATCAATCATTCAACTGCCATTTCCTATTTTCTGCTGGCATTTATTGATTTGTGTAAGCTTTTGCTCATCAAGATCGATGCTAAAAGTAGATTATTTAACACCAATAGATAGAGAATTTTGTGCTCTATGCTTCCACGATCTTTTCAATGTTCCTGTTGCTGGTGTTCAGAAGAAAAAGAATTGGAACTGACACCTGTCAGTATTTTTGAGTTCACTTTGGAAAATCGTGTTTTCAAAAACCAGACTTGCTCTACGAGAGATTTATTATTATGCCATCGGATGTAGAATTTAATTCTGAACAAAACGGTGTAAGTGTTAGATTGAACAGTGAAAACATTTCGCTTGTTTCGAATTAATAAATAATAATGGCATAGATCTATCAGAAAAGGACTTTTTTCGGCACTTTACTTGAAAACTGTTTCTTCAAAAATATTTCTTCTAAAATTCTGAAACATGCATCCAAAGATGCAAAATTTTACGGAGAATTTCGTGAGATAGTTGACATTTCAACGGGACCTTCATTTTAAAAATATTTCCAGATTTTTCGTTTTTTTCACCGTTGCAGTTGGACGATTAAGTAGATGTTCATCTTTTAAATTTTACGCCAACAAGAAAGACTTGTTTCAAAAACAAACTCAACAGTTTTGTAGAACTTGAAATTCTCTATCTTTTGGTATATTAGGGCATATTTTTCATAGATGAAAAATGAGAGAAAAATGCATCAGAACTTAGTGCAATTTATCTTGGATCACCCGTTATTTTGTGTCACATACATACCTGATACTGTAGATGTTGAAATCGTCGCAGTTAATCCATTAGAACTGCTGGTTTGTTGGAGTGCTGTAACAAAGGAAAAAGACATTAAGCTGGGTTCTTCGCCACTTGCATGCGACTTACACGACACTTCTGTCGTACTTCGAGCTGCAGAATTCGATGGTCCTAGAAAGAATTGGACAGTTGACTCGGCAACTCTGCTGGACGCGTTAGCCAGTAAAAGAACGTTTATCAGAACCCTGTTTCACAGCAGATCTAGACATCTTCTTCATTTGTAACACTAATATATGAATACTCGAGCATTGCTTCAAATCAGTCAACTTCGGTCTATTCTGCCTTATCTGTTCGAATGAGGACAGTTTATAGGTGTTTATCCTACCAACTGTACAGAAGAAAAGCAACACTATATGTCAACAGAAAGAAAAGAGCAGATAGAACAAGGCGCAGGAAACGCAGATTCAGAAGTGAGAAGTGAGAGAGAATGAATCATTTAAAAGATCGATCCGTCCTATGCGCATCGTTTCGCATAATAGAAGAGCCGTTACGGTTTAGATTGGATTATGCATAATATGGGGCACATTTTGGCAACGGAAAGTTATGGGGTATGTATAGGAGAGTTTCGCTATGGATAGAAAAGCTTTATGCATAACCGCGCATGTTTTGCTTCATTGGTTGCAAGGTAGACTTCACAAAAGGATTTCTATGTCTTATAGCTCTTGAGTCTGCAAATTACAAAAAACAGCAGATAGGACCTTAAAGAGTTAATGTGCAGAACAGAAAAAGAGAACTATTCAAATTAAGAGGCTATACGCATATGACCTTGTCTATTTTTTCACTTGTCGTATAACGAGTCGCTTATTTTCTCTCATCGAAAAGAATCTGTTCATATTACCATACTGTTCAAAATAATGGAAATGGATAATGACATCATTACTGTCATCTTGGAAGAGACATGTAAGTCGTTTACACTTCAACACATCAATGAATCAACAGATAATTTTTCGAAATTTCGGAAATAATCTGATCGACACACAGTGTAAAAAATAAACTGTGTAAATGACACACATAAAGTGAACGCTAAGTCGATTCCCAGTGAGCGTCGAGAATACACGGCTAGATATGTAGAGTACACACTGGAAAGTGACCGTCTGGCTCCGGTTTTGCCGAAAATGACAGCATATATACTTTGGAAGCACATGGCGCTTTACACACTGAAATTGACCATCTAGAAAAGGTACACACTTTTCGATGTCGAGTGAACGCTTAGAAGATTTACACACCTAGTAACACATTTTATTTTTTACAGTGCATAACTTACAAAAAAATGGAACTATTTCCAAACAGTTCGACCTATTTTTTTGCATAAAGAATTTAATGTAAAATGAAAACAAATAAAAAGTAAAGAAGCATTCATAGCTTATAGTCTTGTTCTATGTAACTTTATAAAATCGAACATGAGAAAATATTGTATCGAATAAAACGATTACTTTTCAAAATACTTATTATTTTAAGTTAAATATTCAACATTGCGAGAAAGGTATCAGCGAATAAGTTTTCGCTGATTATCTGGGGGATATCTCAAAGAGTTAACATTATTTGTGAATGATTCCAGTACTAATGTGATATTCTGAATGACTGATATGAACCATGATTGAGATATTTCACCGGTTTATGTGCTCTCTAAAAAAGCAGGTAGTTTTCAAAATCCGAGCGGGTTTTTATTCTTGAAAACGCTTTCAACCAAAATGATTGAAAGTGTTTTCCACTTTTGCTGCTTGGATGGATCCACTCGCAATACAAGTTGCCTCTTACTATCGTGATATTCGACATCATCGATATCAAGAATAGCAGCTGAAATAAATCACCAACTTATTGAACTTAGAAACTGGTTCGTGAATTCCGACATGTCATACCTTCTACCGTGCTATAAGTTATTCTGTCGGTTAGATAACTCACAAACCAGCTGTATAGTTCATCGCAAATACCGTTCTACGGTGATTTATACAGGAGTCCTTTATGACACTCCCTCTTCGAAATACACCTCAGAAACCGTAAATCCGATCTTACCAAACTTTCAGGCAGTTTTGACCGTATTATTGTACATTTCCGCTAAAATTTCGGAGATGCTATCTATCACAGTTTCGGAGTTTTCGTTCAACGAGGAATTAAAATGAGCATATATATGGACTGTACTATTGCTCGTAACGAAACGTCGTGGAGAGCTCAAAACGGTCTTAAAATAACAAAACAGACAGAGCTCGATTTTTGAATAATTCTTTTTCCAATTTTCGGTAAGCGTCAAAAGTCAGAAGTTCGGAAAAGTGTCACTAACCTCCACAAGAATGTTATTCTACCCAAAAATGTAGACCGAACAAAATAACTACGGATCGTACTAGTACACGCTCTGAACTATCCAATAATATGCATACCCCAATATGTACCTTTGCTAAAAGAAATAATGCACTCCTGATGCAGACAGCCATTTCTCCTATAGATGTAACATCACAACATCGACACGTTCACGAAAATAGCACCAGTTTTCTTAACATTCAAATATCCAATGCCAACTGATCACTAATAACAACTAGCGAGGCATGAAGAAACATTTACCTTCATAAAGACTACTACAAATTACAGGGCATAAAAATAACGCACCCGAACAAATCACTACTGACACGTTTCAACAAATACACATTTGGGGTAGAAACATGTATTTTGTGGCACATACATACCTGGTACTGTAGATGCTGAAATCGTCGCACTTAATCTATTAGAATTGCTGGTTTGTTGGAGCGCTTAACAAAACAAAAAGACATTAAGCTTTGGATCTTCACCACTTCCATTCGACTTACACGACACTTCTGTCGCCCTTCCAGCTCCAGA